AGAACTTAACATTGTAAAATTTCTATCCATGATAAGTTTTAGCCAATGAATTAAAAAGCTTTAGGCCAAAATCGAAAACTGAAAATACCAACTTACAGTACTATTTGATTATGTCGAAAATTATGCCCTAGATAATGACAAAACGTTCCTATGGGCTGTGAGGTCGTTATGAACACTCGTGCTACATTTATCTCTAAAGACCCGAATGTTGCTAAATACTTTACTTTCGTCCTTGGCAAATATATTGTTGTCACTGCAAAGCTCCAACCAATATTATTTTAATTGGTCAACTACATTGTATTAAATAAATATCACGAAAGACGCATGCCTATGTTGTTCACAGTTTTTGTTTGCAGAACAACCACCCATTTTAATAAAACATAAATGGTAGATAGCTTAACTGGTTGACAAAAAGATGTAAATCAAGTAATGTCACTAGGCATTTTAGATATTGCTAAAAATTTTGTAATGCCAAAATAAATTCATAAAAATGTATCAAAATTATATTTCTATAATATAGAAAAGTATATTTGAACTGTTTTAACAGACGTTGCTGGTTAAAACTATATTAATACAGTGATTAATAAATTTCTTTATAAAGGAGTATCATGTTCACCGTTCAATTGGTAACCAAAATATACACCAATGACACTTACGTCAAAGGAAATCATAAACGGACAGGTCTGTTTTATTTTTCTCTAGTATTTTTATCTTAATTGAAAAAAGGATCTTCCTGAACTATTCATTTTTATCATTTTCTCACATTTCCACATTTCAAATCTTCATACATTCACCTTTGTTCAAGGATGCATAAAATATAGATTTTTTGGGAGAAATTGACAGTATCAGGTGAGCTTGTTTGCTTCCATAAAACTTAGAAAGTTTCAAATATTGCAGTAAACAAGATTAAACTTAAACAAAAGTAAGTGAACACAGGGGGAAATGTTCTAATTTATGTATTTTTGTCAGGAGAATAACCTGTCTATCAAAATGGGCATCCAATATTTAATAATTGGTCTAGGTATCTTCTCCCTCTTTTTCTCCTTTGTCTTTATTAATACTAGCATCTTTGTTAGCCAAGGGTTACGATCCAGTCCCCCCTCCCTCTCCACCCTTGGCGGATTAAGCTAGAATTTCGGACCCACGAGGTAATGTTTTTTATTGGTCGCAGTTGTAACTTGCTGCATCCAATCAAAGAGCACATTTAAGATGATCACGTGTAAATGTAGAAAATGTAAAAAAACAATTGCCATGTGCTGAATGTGCAACAAGTCCATACCCCAAAACATAGGACGATATCTAGTGACAATTTTAATGTTCTTAATCAACTAATTGGAGTTCCTGAGTATGTTTCTAGCGCAAATGTTGGAATGTCAACGTATATTTTCGGTTCCTGCTTCACAAAATTTGTAAACACTAGACACAACCATTTTTATACATCCACACTGAAGAGATTTCAAGTGCTACCATTGGTCAAGAATGATGTAGTTGGAATGGGCGTGACTTTTATCTACCGGTAGATGGCGCAGCATTATAATCACAAATGTTGGCTTTATCTGCCAAGGATGAAGAGGAGGGGACTTGGTCGTAACCCTTTGCTAGTGAAGATGTAATACTAGAAGCGTGGGTGAACTTTAGGTACGAAAGTTTACCTGTAGTTAGATTTCTCTCGCGCAATTTTCAGCAATAGGTACCATAAGCTATCAATGGCTAACTATGGGTACCCTTAGGTTCATATCCGAACGTACCCTAAGTTTGCTAATTAGTGCGCACAAATCTCAGTGTGGATTTTTGGATGCTAAGATTGTGTTTTTCCTTAAACTGTTTTGATTCGAGCACCAATGATGCGTCCTATGTAGACAAAACGCATGTCTTGCGTACCAAATTATAAACTTGGTAAATTTATCAAATGTTATTTTCATTTAATCTTGGTCGATACCACTTCTGGTGGACTGGTAGTACCCAAGGGTATCATAGAACAGTAGTCGATGTATCGGTACTGAAATAGTTTACTGGTGAATTGTTAGTCCCCGAGGTGTCATAGCTCAGTAGTCGATGCATCGATGATGACATAGTGTTTTACATATTTTCTGAAGATTCCTTTGATAAATTAAGAAACTTCTGTTCCAACTCCCTCAGGCAAAGTTGAATTTAGACGAATTTGGCTGTTCTTTTTACATCCCTTTTTTGGATATATAGCTCCTAACGCTTCTACGTATTTATAAATCCCTGGTTGTCAAATGCTTAAGTTTTAGCGTCCCTTATGAATGTAAATCCAGAAAAGCGCTATAAAAATTTATACAGTTTTATATTCCTTTACTAGCAATGGATCGATACCACTGCTGGTGAACTGTTAGTACTCGAGAGTACCATAGATCAGTAGTCGAACTAACATGATTTGTTTTACCTATTTTCCAAAATTGCCTTTGATAAGTTAAGAAATTATCAGGGAAATTTGACCTTATGTGAATCTAGCTTTTCTATAAGGTCTCTTTAGGTCACAAAGCTCCTAACATTTCTACGTATTTATACATCTATGGCTTTCAATATTTCTATGTAGCAACATGCCACCAGCACCGATATTTCCGGGTTTTCGTTTCCAATCCTGCTTTTAGTAGCTTGTTGCTGTAAAGGAAGTTATTTAACCCATAGATGTCATATATAGCCACGAGAACGCCTATTTGTAATTTATAAGATCACAAAATGCAACTTATCCCCAGATTTATTATGAAAAACAAACTAGAAACAAGAATTTTATTACTAGTGGAACAGGAACTGCTCATCCTTTCATAGCAGCTGAGTTCAACCCCAGGTTGTTTTTATACTGCTCAATCTTACTGTTGTTTGTCTGGCCGTTCTTTTTATATTTTCCTCGTGTTTTTTTATTCTATATATGACTTGTTTTGTATTTTCTCTTCTATTTATACAATCGTAAATTGCGGAGCGGACTGGGGAACGACGGCAGTTTTCCCAACTCAAATAGTAGAAGTTGTTTTTTTTTTTGTCTTAGAGCTAAGTAATACTTTTTATGCTTTTGTAAGCGGAATTTTACTTCACTTAATACCCATCCTAGTAGTCATCAGTTGGTCGCGTGCTGGTGTGAAATTTGGGGCCAAATGTAATGATTTAACATGATATTTCGTACGGTTTTGGTAATGTTCTGTTTGAAAAAAAAAACGTAGATGTTCTTATCTTATGTGTTGTGTTTATGTTTTAAAGTGAGTGGTAAATGTAAATGAAATAAACGATAATTGTTTCATGTGGTTTTTTTCTTTTAATGCATAAAGCTAATATACTATAAATATCATCAACAAAAAACAAACAAACAAAAAACTTTCTTGATTTCATCAAATGTCCATTTAAATGAACCAAAACATGCTATATATAAATATCGAAATAACAAATAACAAATATGTACAACAACAAAGTATCTTCACTCGACTATTGAGTTACTAACTACTGTTTGACACACGATTTCTGGAGAGAAAATTAAAAAGTTTCGGTCAATTTTCCCTATTTCTGTTTCAGAATTTTGAATTTGAATATTTAGGAGTCACGATGATATGCTTTTAATTTTGCATATATCCTATTAAAATCGGATTATTGCTGTGCTTTATACATGGCTGTGGAACCTGAATGGAAGGAATTGTGGGTATATGTAAAAGAGTTACCCCCTCCCCCCGAAAAAACAAACAAGTAGAGAAGTTCAACGACTTTGGATAATTGTCTTTATTATAAATGTCGTGACCTTAATCATTTCGAGTGTTGAAAATGTAAGAACTATCAAACATGATCAAAAACATCCCTATAGGAAAAAACAAAACAAAAGCAGCACATACCAACTTTCAAGTCTTTGTTTGACCCGGTCAAGATTCGATATCACGACCTCCCGCACTCGAGACTATACCACGAGAGCACCGAGGAGATAACTAGTCTTTACATCCCAACCTTCCTCCCTTTAACAATAAAAGGTATATAAAAGATTGTATATTTGTAGGTAGTTCAGAAAAAGCATTGGCTGTATAATAGTGCAGATAGTAATACATTTCTGTATTTGTGATAAATCTATTATTTAAAAATCTATCCTTTTGTACATATTTTTTTTATCATGAAACTATTACACCCATTGAAATCCGAGATTCACTGCAAATACGCGCATTTCAAACCACTTGAAAAATGCACATTCCATAACAAAAACCACAATTATCACCCACAAGAAAGGGGAAATTAACAATAAGAAAAATAATTAGAGCAGTTTGTCATATTTTTTTGTTTAAAGAGTACCATGAGAAATTCTAATACTTATGTCTGCAGGAGGATGCCGGTTTTTTTCAACGTTCATTCTGTTAAGAGTAATGTATTGACGAAGTTGGCGTGTTGTCGAAAACATCTATCAAATGTTACGTTAGTTCTTTACGTATTTTAGATAGAAATTGTGATGGATATCAGCATGCAATGGAGCCAATCTGATAATGCGGTGAGAGGGGTACAGTTAGTCTCCATGTCAATCATTTGATGGTACATTCGGTAATATTAGGCTTTTTGTCATCTCTAAACATTTAAAAGACTGTTTCACAAATATGACGTTATATCCTTCAAAGTACAACCAAGAGGTTGTGATGCTGAAAAATTTGAAAAAGATTAAAAGATTTTTAATGCCCCTACAAATGTATAGGCTAGTGAGCGTGAATTAAATGACATGTTAAATAAATTTGATTAAAGATACATTAATACATAAGTCGAAATTATTGTGTCAAAGTTTTGAAAGGTTTATTTCTTAATTACTTAAAGTTACTTCCCTAAATAATGGGTCACACAGAAGTAAAAATTGTGCCTGTCAAGATTACTCAACAATTGATACTTGTTAACAATGTTCAATGTTGCACAATTAAAAACAACAGGTTTATATAACATATCAAATATGTCCACATCTGATCCATTGAACATGTATATGGTGTCATGCATTATTCGAAAATAGCTTGAAACAAAATATATTGAAACAATCACACTATTCGCCTACTGTTTAGCACTTTTTGTTCCTGTCAACATTTTTTAACGGTCTTACCGAACTGTCTATTCTATATGATGATGTGAAGCCATGTGTAATTTAAGCTCATACGTATGTGGAAAATTCTTGCCACAAATTCCACATGGGCAAGGTTTATCTTTCATGTGGGTTCGTCTCACATGACTGTCATGTGCGGCATGTGAGGCAAAAGCTTTACCACAATGTCGACACTGAAATGAATAAAAAAAAAACAATAACAGCGACATTAAATGTTGTGAGTTTTCATGTTTCAATGCTGTTCATCACTATTACAGTTTTGCTAATGTGTTTCAGGAAAATGAATTCTTACTCTTTTAATTACTGTGATATAAGATATTTGTAGTTTTTTTATTTAGGAATATGATCATGAATTTCTATCTTTAGAACAATTTGGGATATACCTGAAAAATATGAAATATTGGTCATTCTCTAGTGTATTCGATGTGACATTTTTATGTAGTTGGGAAATCGGAGGGCTCAATGGCAAATGCTCTTGGTAATATTTTATTATCTTTTCTGTTAATTTCAGTTTAAATTTGACGAGATTACGCGACAATACGCACTGCAGTAGTGCAGTTTCTTTATGGTTTGCTTTCACTCTTACTCGACCCCTGATTGTTTTTTATGAATATGAATTTCGAACAAATTTAAAATCATTTTTTATTAACATTTTGACAATGGTTGATATTCTCAATTACATACCTCTTTTGTTTGTATGTTTGTTTGATTGTTTTTGTTTGTATAATAATTATACAATGCTTACCTTGAATGGTTTTTCTCCCGAATGTTGACGTATGTGTGTACGCAGAATACTAGATGCTGTAAATGCTTTGTTACAATATACACATTTATATGGACGTTCCCCACTGTGCACCTGCAATGTTCGTCAAAAACAACAAAATGATAGCGTCAAAAGATTTTTTTGGAGTTTCATATAGTAAGCTATTCGAATTATCAGGACAATCGGAAAAAATAACAAACGAGTTAATTGATTGATAGATTGGTGTTCAACGTGCAATAACAAATATTACAGTCATATCAGGACGAGTACGTGTTAATGTGATATACATATAAGCCCCGCTTTGCGCTTTGCGCTATACACGCTACTGAGAGACATTATTCTTACACCGAGTCGACCTGTCATAGCTCTTAAAATCGCGTGCTTAGAAGAGCAGCAGCCAATACTAATTCTCAAATATTTGGTTTTTCATGTTCGAACCCACAACATTCCGTACTCGGGGCCAGCACGCTACCGCCAGAAAAACGAGGAGTTAGTTGAAGCTCTGGTGTTTTTCCCCTCAATTACCGTGTTTAAAACCGCTTCATAATTAGGTAGTGATTTGTCTCATTGGCATTCATACCACATTTTCTTATTTTTATAACATATGCAAGAAGGTATCTGTGATTTTTAAATGCCTTCAATGTTTGGACTGTCGAATGTGGTCCGATACCAATATGATATTGTTCAACTAAATTTCAAAGCTAAAAATTCAAATATCTTCCAATTGTTTTGCTATTAAAAAGTTAGGATATTAGCATACCTAATTCGCGTAACTCTTTAAACACCGCGTAATTTACAAGAAATTTGTAAAAAATCTATTAATTTAATGTTTTTAAAATTTCTATAAAAATATATATGTAGCATGATGTGAAATTGACCAGGTACTTGAAGTCTGGATTGCCCTTCTTTTTTTCTATTTTTGGGTTTTTTTTCACAGTTCCATTAACTATGTGTTCTGCTTATAACTATTTACATTTAACATTCTGGGGCACTTTATATCAATCTCGGTTTTTGGTGGGATTTTTGTTGAACTTATGAATTGTCAATGGTCTGCTAATAACTATTAATGTTTTTATATAGAAAAAAACGGCAATAAAAGAGCATTACAAAAACATTATTATTAAGGACGTTATACTGAATAAGTGAATAATCAAATTTAAAAGGGGGCAATTCAATCTACAAGTACAATGAAATTGACCATGCAAAGAACTAAGAGTGACTTTCATAGGCAGGAAATGACAAACTACGTACATCCTAAACTTAAATTGTACACAAAAATAGAATTATCTACACTCTTACCCTCATGTGTTTGTTAAGACTTGAGGACTGGCTGAAACTTTTCCCGCAAACAACACATTTATGTGGCCTATGTTTTTCATGTACATGTAGTATATGAATTCTAAGCCGGTCTCTTTTTTCAAATGACCTGTAAATTAGACAAAATATACTTACAGTACATTTATGTTAAATGAAAAAGAAACTACGCAAAAACAGGGTTGGGTCTCCTCCAAGTAAACCTTAGAGGATACTTGTTTATCATTTTGATGTTTTTTGTTCTATATTAATAATTAGCTCACCGACAGTTGCTTCCCCGTGTCCAATTACGATTATTCTAAAAACATTATTAGGCACATGTCGTGCGCTCTTAAATCGATAGTATTCGCTGTGTAATATAATATTTCTTGTAATGCTATCTGCTTCTCCTTTCGTCAAATTGTTCCTTTATTCAATCCACAGGAGATAAAGACCTGAATTTCCTAATTTGTTTCGTTGAATCGTATAATTTTTGTAAGATTTGGATAGTAATATTTTGGATGCATTGAAAGGCAAATATGTTGCTTTTTTGTTACTAGGACGCAAAGTACTTTCCATTTTCTCATGTATATCTAATACAATGTTAATGAGTAATGTTACCGTAGTTTACCTAGTGCATAGATGACATGGAAATTTCCTGTCGCCTTGGTCAACACACCGAGTATACTTCAGATGCTTATCTCGATAATACTTGTAAGCGAACACCTTCCCACATCTTTCACAGGTAAATCCTTCACTTGCTGTAAAAGATTTGTTTAAGAAAAACTACATAAATGCATGTGACAGCTTTTATTACTGATATAAGTTTATCAATCGATGAAAAAAATTAAATCAGAATTATTTACGCTTCAAAACTATGTACGCCAGAAAATACTTAGCAGAATATGTTCTTCGTCAGTGCTTGTTTGATATTGAAATATTATTAAATAATGCTGCAGTTGCTTATGTACTTAATTTCTTCATATATGGGAGGACTCAAAGTGTGGATGATATCAGAAAATATAAGTATAAAGCAGGACTGGAAAAAGTTGAAATTACAGTTTTGTTCAAGGAGATAATCAAAATGCATTTGGCTGCAATGTCAAATCCGATTATCTGAACAGGGGGCAAAAAAAATTTGAAAAAAATCTGAAGAATTTGAAAGAATTTAAGATTTGGAAGTAATCTTAAATGATATTTAGGGGTATAAAAGATAATAAAAGCAAGATGTTTAAGTTTTAAGGTTTAAGTGCACAACCCCCTGGTAAATAATGCCTGCTCCCTAATGAGATTCCTTAGCCTGGTTTACTTTATATCCTATAGAACTAAGTTCATTTAGTATGATTTAACATTATAGTTCATATGTCAGTGTTGTTTCTGTTATTTTTATTAACAAAAAACTAATAGTATCAAAACTAACTATTTAATTCATCGGGAACGCCGCCATCCGCCATTTCTTTCAATGAAACGGGTACTCCCATGAACTGCAGGTAACAGTCTCCGTACCAAACCAATAGTTCTGTGCCATGTGGTATATCTTTACATACTTCATAAAATATGTCTCCGTCAACTTGCATAGCGATCAAATTCTGCTCCTGTGCATACCTTGCACAGTTTACAAAAGACATCCACCCACCTGTGGGACCACGTCCATCAACAAAATGACTAAGCTTGCCTTCATAGAAAACCTGTAACAAAAAGAACGATGTTACATAGCTATAGACATTATCTTCAGATAGAGACCGCTTTCTGGTTGTGCAAAAATGTTTTCGACTTATTTGTTGATATATACCAGCACATGGATATGTATGGCACTACGTCCGAAAACGCAGATACGAAAAGGTGGCATTTTAGTGGATTTTCTAATTTAAATCCTAAAAAGCCATCATTACCTTTGATTTATTTGGGTTTTTTTTTGCATATCTTCTTTAATGGAAAAAAAAATTTGTATTTCTAGTTCGAAATAACAATGATAAATTAATTTTTGAAGTAGACAAAAATGGAATTCTGAAAATTTATTTTATAAACACCTATCATTCTCTTTTTATTACATTGTCCCTTTTCTATACTATTTTCCTCTCATTGCAGTGATAGAATTTCAATTTTGAACCAATATGTTTTAGAGTTTCGAAACACTAAATATGATGAGCATCATTTAGGCCAGAATCATGTTTTCATCATATTTACTGACCACATAACAATGGACATATCTATAATAAAACGAGCTGTGATTAGTTACGTGTTACAGTTTTGTCCAAGTTATTTACATTCATTCATGTGTGATAAAAGAATGCATTAATGTAAATTTTCATGATTTTATGACATAAACGACTTAAAAATTAGTTTTTAAATGGAAATTCTATTTCTTCATATTTACTTCAACGATCTAGAAAGGTTATGACTGTATTTCAATGTGCATCAAAACAAATATTAAAATAACGGACCAACTATGAAAACATTGAAAATTCAGCATAATCAACACTGAAAATACTGTGATTTAATGTTGACATTATAATGACATATGATTGATATGGACAAATCACTTCAATCTATAACATAGAGAACAGAATCGTCCCGTTTTTAAAATAAATGTATCATATTCTCAATACTTTTGTCATCAGTCACGAGACGGTGTAGTGTTCACATAAGTAAATAAAGAGGTGTCATAATGCGACGCTGTTGGTCTTTAATTGTTGCACATTTGCAATTAGTATTTATTTATAAAAATCACCTACCTAAAATAAAATGACAACTTTACAATGCTTAATGTTTGTGGAACAGCACCAGAGTGATTAAAATGTTTGAACAGTTGGTTTAAATGTGCTCTTTTTCACTATTAGACACACGTTAAGTGTCTATTTTAATCAACTTGAAGTGCTTGATTTAAGTAAGATGCATTTGAGTACACGTTTCGGTCCGAGCTGTAACTGGCATTGATATTCAAAATGATTTAATACTTCGATCGTAAGTTTATGTCATGAATTTAAACACGACTTACAAAAAAAACAGACATACATAATCTGTAGAAAAAGTCAAGCGTAAACCTTTGTAGATATATATGCCAAAGGAAATAGGTTACTTGTGAATATAAATAAAAGGACAATCAAATAAACAAATAAACAAATGAATAAAATATCATATCACATTGGTATGATTTAATGCAATACAAAATTACATATAAAAGTACACTGGGATGTATGAAATTAAAACATGCAGTCTCAGTGATAGTTCAATGAGGGGATATGAGTTACGTAAACTGCTAAGACGAATTTCTTTACAAACGACAACTTTTCTCTCCGTGTTAGAGGCTCGAAAAGGAAAATAAAAACCTTCAAGTTTATCTTATTTGGATTCAGGGTTCAATCAGTAATTGAGAACTGAATGTCACTGGTTTTGTTTCATCTAAAGATGTACATACCTCCCACATGTAAGAGTTATCGTCGTTACTTTTTACTTCACTTGTGTTAACTGTTTTTCCTTTGAATGGTCCAAACTTAGTACCACGTGATATTACGGTAGATGTACAAAACACGCCATAATGAATGGTTCTAGCAAACAATGTTTGTAAGACTGTCAAGCCTGAAACATATGAACGGACACAAATGAGCATTCACGAATAATTATTTCACAGAGTTGTGTAAAGATGTTATTGATATTTTGCTGTGTATGAAATGTTTAATTATGATTCAAAATTTCTTCGTCTGCTGTCATTACTTATCACTTTTTATCAGTGATTTGTTCCTATCACAATTTGTATTTTTCTATTCACAAATTAAGTATAATTAAATCCGCATCTCCCCTTTATCGGTAAAACGGTAAAAAAAGTCTGCATTGCATAATTTTTGTGTGGCCTCCTATTTTATTATTATATACATAAATTCAAAATGTTACCCTGTGCTACAAATCGTTTACCAATTTTGATACAACATTTTTCAATCGTTTTTATATTTTTTTGTGGAATATTTTGCATTGACGAATGTGTTTGTCTAGAATACATTAATCTGTATTCCAAAGGCAAAGCTATAACTAACTATAGAATATATGGTGTTGGGTAAGAAATTTCTTCTCACTCTTTTTTAATAAATACTTGAAATGTTTCTAGTTCTATCAAAATTTCCGTTCTATGCCATCTTTGGACATTTATCATTTGGTTATACCTACCATCTGGTATGTCCAATCCCGAGAGATCTAATGGTTTGATATTTGGAACTGGAGGTGAACTCTCTGACTTTACCGGACTATTTCCTGTCAGGATTCGATCAATCCCTAAATCAAAGAAAAAAATTATTTGGAATGATTTTCAAATTTATAAAAAAAACTCTAAATCAAATGTTAATGAATGTATAGGTTTTTAATTATCTATATGCCTACAAGCTCCAATGGAAAGGATACTAGTCATGTACGATCGAATATATCAAACTTTTGAAACTTCATCAGCGTTTTAGAACAGTCTATTATTTACCTTTTTCGCTCGATCATTAACAAACAATGATTGTGTATGGCTGTTTGGAGGTAATTGGAACTGCGTATACGTTGGTCACGACTATAAAGAACAATCAAGCGCCAACTTCTGGAATCTCTTTTTTTTTAAACATTCTTATTAAGAAGAATATATAAAAGTCCGTGCTTCAATCCCGATTTTTTGCATAATTTATATTTAACCTGTTGAATTTCAGCATATTGATTTAGCAGTTAATCATTAAAAACGTGTGACTAAATGTATTAACCAAACATCTTTAAAGACGTACAAGATGTTGCATTTATTCTAAAAGTATATTTGTTTCTTTTTTTCATCATTCGTAAAAATTGCAATTTATACTGAGGAGACGGTAAACAAGTATGGTTTACAAAAATTAATATGATTTTTTAAGGCTGGCGTTTTTTTTAATACTAAATAGCCAATGACAACATATTTCAACTGCGCCCAATATTCCTTGACTCGAGGGTATCAGCATTCCAGTACTCATTACTTAAAAATTGACATGAAATATCACTGATTGTTCATTTTCTGAAAATTTATTATTGATAAAATGTTGAATTATTCGAAACCCTTAGGTTTTCTTCCACCAGGAATAGATTGCCATAGCCGTTTTTTGGCACAACTTTTCGGAATTTTAGGTTTACGATGCTCTTCACCTCGTATTGGTTTTGACCTTCCTTCCTCCAACTCTTTTTGTTCGAGCGCCACTGATGAGTCAGGTAGACGAAACGCACGTTTGACTTACAAAACTATATACCTCTTATCTTTGATGACTTGTTTTTCAATATACAGAACTTGTAACAATTGAATAATGACATCCCGACTATATTTTCATAATGCCGTATAATTTATTAAGTTTGTTCTATAGTTATAGGTCGTCGGTCTGATGAAAGTCCAGGAATTCTATCATATGGTGTTTAATTCTCCTTGATATTATAAGTAATTAGATTATTGTGTTAGGAAACATTCAGCAGGGATCGTTATAAGATTCCTGGAATACGAACCAACTTTTCAAGAGGACTAAATATGATAAATACTGTGCTTTGTTCCAGGCAATCGAATTTAGAAGTCTTCTGTGAAAGAAGTAAGAAAATTATCAACTCCTTGAATAGTGCGCATGTGACAAATATGCCAAGAATTATCCTCTTGTGTATTGAGTTGTGCATTTTGATTACTGATTGTGTAAACATAGTCACGTCAAGTCGATAATAAAAGCTCTCTAAAGATGTGATTTCTTCTTCATTTCTGTCCCTAAAGTTCTTTAATATTTACCAAATTACGATATTCTTAGAAATGTTGAAATATCAACAATTTTACCAATATCCAGAAATGTCCCCAAATAGGAAGAGAAAAAAATCACTTGTATACACATATATGTGACAAAATTAATTTGAAATTGTGTTAGGTTATTGGTATTCATGACTCGGAAATCTTTACTTTAGTAAAACAAATAAATAGGACTGTCTCTAAATAAAAACCACTACCATTGATACATTTAATGTAGTACTTTTCGTGAAAAAAAAACAAAAATTGTAGAGGAAAAGGTGAATCGTTGTACTGCTTTATAAGTCATTGTGATTATGACACATTGTGCGGCGTGGTATGAATTTCCACTGTTGGTCTGAATGTTCATTTAATAATTTATACGAACAATGAATGTTGTTTCAAGATATTTCTAGTTCCATGCGACAGGTATTTCTTCACTAATATGCATGTAAATATTTCTTCAGAGATAATGAAATGAAAATATTTTGTTGAATAGGGGACTAGTTTTCGAATTAAAATTCTTGTTTTTAAACACGCTTTTAAGGGGATAAATAAATAAAAAGATTTGATACCCACTTAATGCGATAGAGATTTAAAAAAGTATGTACCTAAGTTGAAAAATTTAGATTAGCAATTAATCCTTTGTTTCAACAATACTGACCACCACAGGGCTAGGAAGCATTCAATATACTGAAAGCAACCAATAAGAAAGCGTTACTCAAACAACTGCTGACGGTTATCCAATTAAAACTTGACACTCTTATTGGAGATTTCAAATTTATTATTTTAGTATATGACTGATTAGAAAAACATATTAAATCAAGAACAGCAATGAAAGAAAAGTAAATGAGATTTACATTAATTGTTTTTATACTATCCTTTGTGGATTTAAACATAATCTAGAAGAGGTTAATCAAAAGACTAAAATCATTGTCCACGTCATAAACTTCTTAAATAGTCCGTCCAAGAAGAAAATAAAAAATCAGCATATATTATGTTCCTTGAATAATACCAATTAGTTTAATCTTAATTAAAACTTGAAAGTGTGAATATCATTTTAATTGAATTATTCTCAACTTTTAATTTGCTGATGTTTCATCAATTCAAAAGTATGATTAAATATAATTATGTATTACAAATATTGCAATAAATAGTTTAGACGTTCAGAGTACAAAAAGCATCGAGGGCCTTAGGTGATCCTATAAGGACTGGTTTCAAAAATCTACCATGGATCACGAAACAGCTGCTCATAATACTGAAACGATCCTTTTCAGGAAAAAGTTATTTTAATAACTCTAGTTTTCATGGCAACAAAGGATGATTACCAGAGGAATATCTCACTCGGTCAAAACATACGTGATATTGATAAAGATTTAATTTTTTTGCGAGCAAAACAAATTTCTGGAAATAAATAGATTAATTATAAATATTTTTTACAAGGTATTACCCGGAAAATTAATTGCAGTTGACCGTATGTTCTATTTTGGGTGATGGATGCCATGATGGTTGAAGTCCGAAGTATTCTAGACAAACTACGGATCATCATGACATACCGGTATTTAATTGAAAATGATTCAATTCTCTCAGAGGGGAACTTTTTTGCAACAAAATTACAATTAATTGGTTAAAATAATTATTTAAGGGAATTGTTCCAATAAAGAAGATTGGCCGGTTTGGTGAGACATTTGCAACATCTTGCCCATCGAATTGGCTGATTCAAATTTCTGTATGTTTTGTTGTTGTTGAAAAGGCATAACGCTGAATTGTTCAAAAATCGTCATTATATAAAGACAACTCCTAAAGGAATCATCTATTTGTTTCGGTAATATGTTTTTTCTCAGTTTCGGTGTTTACAGTTTCTGTCTATCTGTTAAGTTTTCAATATTATAGACAAAAAGTTGAAATTGATCAAAATCGTCATTTAACTCCTGTATGGAATCGATTGATTTGAGCTTTCTTGTTTACAGTTTCTTTCTGTCTATTACAGTTTTCAAGATCAAAAATAAAAACGATAAAATTGGTCATAAATTGCTCTTTTTAGGAGTCTTTTGCAACTATGATAGAACTGGAGAGTAGGTAGATCTTGATATTCTGGGCAATTCTGAAATTGGGGTCAAAACTCTAATTTGGCATTAAAATTAGAAAGATCATATCATAGGGAACATGTGTACTAAGTTTCAAGTTGATTGGACTTCAACTTAATCAACAACTACCTTGACCAAAAACTTTAACCTGAAGCGGGACAGACGGACGAACGGAAGAACGAACGGACGCACAGACCGAAAAACATTATGCCCCTAGGTGGGGAATACAAATGGGAATTTCACAAAAAGGTTAAATCGATTTGATATCAACCGTTGTTTTTTTACAAAGATAGTGCAACACATGACAACTATTTTTGTGGTTCTCTGGAAATTAGTTGTTTCAATGTTGCTGGAACAGCTATATTACCTTCGAATATGAGCAAAAATATATATGTTTTATCAAAAGTGATAGCAACCAAAACGACACAAAAATAACAGTTCCCTAAAGTTAAACATACGGTCTTTTAAAAACACACAATACAAAATGTCTAGTTTAAAATCGAACTGAGTCTAGAAAATTTGTAAATAAATTTACCGAAGACTTTCAAAGACTCGCCATTAGAACACAATTAACTAAAGGACCAAAAATAAATATCACTTGAGACAACCACTGAGGAGGTTCCTGGCTACAGACATATGAACATGAGTAGGGGTTAAACTTGTTCTTAGATCTAACCATCCTCCTAATAATCTATATTAGTAGAACACAAAAGTTCATAGAATGTGCAGTAAAAATCAGTCCAGAAAAAAAAAACGGTATAGGAGAACATGAAAACATAGACAGAAGCAATCAAGAGTGATCTATACCGTATCAAAGACAGTATCAGTTATCTGCTCATATACAATAATGCCGTTCAATATTCTAATTTCGGCGGTTGAACTCCTGGTAAGATTTCATACAGCAAAGACATAAGCAGGACAGAAAGACAAATGTGTTAAACATTTAGTTTTATCAGGGTTATATAAAACTTATAATGTTCATTGTCCATGAGCGTAAGTTAGTTTTTATATGTCGACATATTTATGCATGATGGTCGAATATAAAGATCATAAGCATTTTGTCATCCAAATAAGGTACCATAACAAGGAAAAAAAATATAAATTTTGTATTTTGTAGTTGTATCTTGTTCTGGATTTATTTACTATCTCTCTATGAATTAGAAAACTTTAGCGGTAAACTTGATAAATGCGAGTAAATGTAGCAACTTGTACACGGCTCTGTGCAAACGTAATGAGTTTTTTTTCAACGTAAAAAATTGTACAAATCCGGGCAAATGTAAAGCAGAAGAAAAAGACGATGCCTGTAATTAAATGAAACTTCTGTATATATTATGTTGTATATATTTACATATATTTTGAAACTTCTGTATATATTATGTTGTATATATTTACATATATTTTGAAATGTCCTATGTGCATAAGGGAACATAACATTCATTAGGTTGTTACATTGATTAAAGTTTTCTTGTTGAAGTTCACCGTGTTTTATAAAAGCAAGTATTGTTTCTGTCTTTCTATCCTTATAATCATACTTTGCATTGGTGATAATAATATCATGAGCATTTCTCGTATGTTTAAACTGAAATTGATAATATAAAGTCCACCAAAAATTTTTTTTAATATGTATAATTAGGACATTCTTTATTTGGTAATTTATATTTTTCTAAAATTGAAAAGGCTTTTTGTATCTGTTAAGGACTAACAAATCAATTTTAAATACACGATGCTTGTGAGAATATATAAGGAAATAAAATTGAGAATGGAAATGGGGAATGTGTCAAAGAGACAACAATCCGACCATAGAGCAGACAACAGCCGAAGGCCACCAATGGGTCTTCAATGCAGCGAGAAACTCCCGCACCCGGAGGCGTCCTTCAGCTGGCCCCTAAACAAATATGTATACTAGTTCAGTGATAATGGATAAAGCACAGACGAAGATATCGTATGATAAAAAAAATATATCATTCCTTATTTCTAAACAAAAATGAAAGATACGAAAAGGTGCTTTTTATATGCATGGACTTCGAATGTTACGTTTCAATATACATTAGACATGTTAGCATTGTTTATTTTAACTTTACTTTGCAGTCTTATTTGCATAAGTATACGCCAAATTTTGTCATCTTTAAGCACCAGTCAGTTTTCTTTGAAATAAATACTTTTGGTGTTTTTAAGATTGACCGTTAATGAGACTGGATTAACGATGTTACAGGGAAGATACAACAATTATTCCAAATCAAATTTATGGCACGTATAGGTGAATGCCTTGTGTGGTGTTAACAAATATTTTTTAAACGGAAAATTGTGTTTACAGAATGTGTGCATTATTTGCCCTTAAAATATTATAAGTATATGAAAAGTGTTAACTGTATCAATTTTCATATAACTGTAAATAGTTTAGTGAAATTTTAAGGTTAAAACATGGAATAGCTTTTTCTTCCTAAGTTACAAACAAACAGTGGATAAAATACAATATTTATGTAAATAATAAAATGGAATGGCCTCAAAAACGTAAAAATATATCAGAGTATCAAAGAAAATCACCGCTCATACCTCTTAATGCAGAACTCTGTTAAATAATGCATTTTATTTAATGTAAAAGTATACAATTTCATTGAACTTTTTTTTTCTAATTTTTACATTTATATGTCAAGCTATTTAAGAAGAACACATTCCGTTCTTTCTTTAATATTATAAGGAAAGAGGTATATCTACGATGGAAAATTCTAAATTAAAGATTTTGAGAAAGAGGGAAAGGGAGGATCATTGTAACGAAGAATAAACTTTTCCTTTTTTATGTTATTTATTTGAAAAAAAAGCTACATGTATTTGATGAAATATATCATATATCAAAGTTCCCACTATATGTTACATGCATTCAAAAATATATTAATGTTGAACTGTACAAAACAAAAACATTGTAAGCAAAAAAAATATAAAACATCAAATGAACTTACCGTGACTGAGGTCCAAACTTTTAATGCCTGACAATGCATGTCCTTTACATCTGTCCACTTTGTTCTGTGTATATCCATACAATACCATATCTAACTCCTCTCTGCTAAAGTTGAATGTTGGTATACCCAGGGGTGGGACCAGTCTCGGATTGTAAAGCCTAGTGTGAGGAGGTTGTGTGGTGTTTGTTACTTGCGTTGTTGTCGTTTGTGATGGCATCGGAGATTGTGGCATCATTGGAATATTGAACGGAAATTCTGGTCCTCTGTATCTAAATCGCTCCATCTGCATGCTGAAATTTCAATTCATTTATGACTTGTAATATTGAAATAAACAATTTCTTATTATTGGTTTTGATTTATTTTAATTTCATTATTCATTTATGCGTTTTGCCTATATTTTCTTATGATAAAAATATTCGTCTAATTGTCATATTTAAATATGTTTCATTTGCTCCTTCTTTCATTGCAATTATACTCATGGAATCAGTATATAAATGACATTGTAAATATTTTCTAAAAAGCCTTTTTCACATTACAAATGAAATAAAACAAATAAAGTAAACTATTTTTTTTTTTCAAATTCATACCTCTGCATAGGTGAAATAAAATGTTGCTGAATCAACGGCATCATATTAGGTCTCTGTATGTTAACCATCATATTTCTGGTCTCTATTTGTCGCAATAATTGTCCCGGAATGATGAACAGATCAAATCTCGTTAACCCTCTAATCGCCGATTCTTTATAATGGTATTAAGGATTAATGTAAATATTGACAATTATTTGGTCGGTTTCATCTTGATACGGCACCTCCCCGCGCCTGCGTCACATTTATGGTTCAATCAGACTTTAAACAAGGATACTTCTATTTCATTTTCTCTATCTTTTATTTTAATACAATATTTTTTGTAAAAGTATTATATATTATTGTTTTTGATAAAAACAAATAGTTATCATGTATCACTTTCTACAAAAAACAACGGAAAATACAATTTAGTTTTCCCCTAAAACATAAAAAGAAATAGGAACATGTTTTCAGTCTATTGAACTATTTTTTTTTTTATTTTGGAATGTGTTTCTTAATACTTTTTTGTGTTTTTTAATTTAATTTCTTGCAAATATTAAAGGCAGAAGTTGTGGAGTACGTGTTTGGAGAAATGAAACTGCAGCCAAAAATGTATTTTATTAAAAAATTCTATCAAAAGGTATCTGACAAAATAAAACAAGGAAAAACAAAACAGCACACCTACAAAAACTTCAATTAATTTTATTAATTTCAACTCTTTCAAAATCTTTTATTTAAAAAACAGCAAATGAACCCCGACTTAGTGTCGAATAGTTACTAACGTAAGTAAATATTTTCACACCTGAAGCGAAACAAGGTGTTGAACAATACGAGAAAAATGGATCCACAGATTTGTCAAATATATGTGGTTTTCAGACTGACACGATTAATTAAATAACAATATGTAAATTACATTGAATAATACCCTAATCATTGGTATTAACCTATAACTATTGTGATTTACTTCGTATCTATTTGTTGAAAGATGAGTGATAATATTAAATTGCCTTTGGGAAGTTTTAAGGATTAGAGTCCCTCAAATTTTATACAAATAAATAATTAGATAAATTTTATTTTTGTACAATAGGGATAGAGGAATTTGAAAACTAAGGGAAGAAATAGTATTCCCATATAAAGTAAACATACTGAAACGATAGAAATTATTTCAACGTTACAATATGCAAGGAGAACAAACTGATACAAACTTTTTTCACGTCTTCTTGTATTAACAGATTAACAGTTACTAGTATATAACTATTTGTTCGTTAGAAAAAGTACCTGTCTCTGGTTGGAATTAATCAAATCAGTATACGTTTCTGGTGACTATTCATCTTTTCTGTGTTATTGTAAATTTTACATGTTAGTAGCCACTTTGTATCCTATCAATTCAAAAATTTGAATTCGCTATTCCGACGTTCAAAATTCGTTAAACGGATACAAATTTTCAATTCACAAAAAGAAGTTTATAAATTTTGTCCATTCATTTTCTTTCATATTTAGTGTTATAAATGAGCTTCCTCGATAAGCAGAGCTCTCTTCTCAGTAAATAAACTCATCATAGATACCAGGATTAAAATTGGTAAAGGTTAAAAAATTTCAGCAATTTACGTATATATGTTACAGTATTTGTAAAATTATTGACTTTGTAAACTTCCTGAAATTTCAGAAGTTGAATGTATAAAGTCCCTGATTTTGACTAAATCACTTAAATAATTGATAACTTTTTTTTAGATTCACTAGTATAATTCTGGGAATTTAGGGGAAAAGATAGCTTAGTTTTTAAATAATACTTTCGGACTCTCGGACCTGTTTATCAAAAGTTCACTAAGATATGTCTTAGGATGATTTTAGGACTGTCCTACGACATGTCTGAGCATGCACATCGAAGCTCTCTTAGACGACTTACCGTTATCATAAGAATTGTCGTAGAAGTAAATAGCAATTTGAAAAAAATAAAGATAAATATTTGGATAAATGCATAATACTTAACCTATCAATAAACATTCTAATTAAAAAAAGAAAAATTACAGTAATAATAATAAAAATAATAATAATAATAATAAAAAAAAAACATATTAAAAAAAAAAAAAAAAATGAAAATTATAGTAGTAATAATATTCTTATTATTATAAAAAAAATAAAATAATATCAATATAATGATTGTAAACTTAAATTTTAATGAAACAACACAAAAAAAGTTATAACTACGTTTTCTATAAGAGTTAAATAAATTAAGCGGAAATACAGATGCTGATACATATATTTGATTTTACTAATCACAGTGCCCATAAGGATAATTACAAGGAATTATACATAGAATATCAAGTAAATAAATTACAAGGAATTATACATAGAATATCAAGTAAATAGATTACAAGGGATTATACATAGAATATCAAGTAAATAAATTACAAGGAATAGTTTTTATTTTTCTTGATTACAGTAATAAAAAGTACCACACATGATATCCTCACAAACAGAAGCATAGTAAAAAAGTTTTAAAAAATGGAAATACAATAATTTACTTTCATTGATCTGAGGTTTTCCAGCTGTACATTGTAGGTTTTTATCTTGCTTAAAAGTTGACAGTTCTCAAATAAAAAGCTACCATTAAAATAATATGAAGACAATATTGTTTATCCTCATTACTCATGCATGGTCCATATACATTTATTTTCTGACCTAAGTATGCTAACACTATCATAGCTTTTACTAAATACTTCATATATAGCTTCCTGTACCGTTGAAGACAGGTACAGTCCATAAGGAAGTGGCATGATACTAAACTACTAACGGGAGGGATTGTGGTTGATTTTCATATTATGAAGACATAATCTTTCGAGCAGCTTAATTGAGGTCTGGAGCTGGCATGTCAGTAACTGCTAGTAGTCCTTTGGTAATTTATGTTGTTCATTGTTATTTTGTTAAGTTTCTTCTGTTACCTATTCTAACATCGGACTCGGACTTCTTGTAAACTGTGTTTTACTGTGCGTATTGTTGTGTGTTTGTTTATTCAATATTGGCTAGAGGGGTGGGGGAGGGTTGAGACCTCACAAAACATGTTAAACCCCGCCGCATTTTTGCGACGGTCCCAAGTCAGGAACCTCTAGTCTTTGTTAGTCTTGTGTGTTTTTTTAATTTTGGTTCACTTGTATGTTTCTGAGTTTAGTGTGGCGTCCATTTCGCTGAACTAGTATACATTATTGGTAAGGGTCCAGCTGAAGCCCGCCTCTGGGTGTGGGATTTTCTCGCTGCGTTGAAGACCCATTGGTAGCCTTGGGTGGTTTTATGCTCTTTGGTCGGGTTGTTGTCTCTTTGACACATTCCCCGTTTCCATAAACTTTTCTACATCATCTTCAACTGCCTGATCACAAAGATTGCATAATCTATCTGCAATAGGCCCCTGATTGGTAGTTATCTGAACTTGCTAGTCAAAGATTTATTTTTAACACTTACTCTCTGAGAATGAGGCAAACAAGTAACCTTATTATAAAAGTAGACTTTAAAAAATGATATCAAGAAGATGTGGTCTTTTAAGTATTGAACTTCACAGATAAACTAATAGAAAAGAAAGGATACTGGTATCCATCCCTGACACAAAATCAGTATATACACAGCCAAAAACACAAAAGCAAGGGAACAGCGCTTTTATTGCTGTTCTTCATCTCAAAGTCACCGTGAGGCCTTCAACACGGAACAAAAAACTCTCACCTCACTGCAAGTTTAAGACGGCCCCAAGCACTGGTTTGAGCGGAATTCTTTTCTTCCTCAAATAATATTCTGATTGTAAAGACAAAGCAGGAAAAGGGGGAAACAATACCTGAACCAAAGTACTTGCTATTAGACGTCAATTTATATAGACAGGTCATCATCGAGACAATAATAAATTAATTTGACCATTTTTCCTGTGATCTTACTTTGATTAAAATCATATATTGGATAATAGAATAACTTAGTATTTGAATTACATTCAAGAAAGAACACTAGATAAAGTTAAAATATCAAATAATTTTCTATATTCTTTATATCTAATTGTCAAAATAAGTTCAAATATAAATATATCTAATGCACGTGTATGTTTGAAGAATGTGGGAATGTGATTTTATTAAAATAAAATTCCGGCGGGTAGGTTGATTTATATGATTCTTTTCTTTTTATAAAGATAAATATATATATATATATTCTATATACTTAGAGGGCATAAAAATTCAATGTCAGAAAAATCTCCAGTTTAGTAATGATGTACGAAAAATATAGAATTATGAGAGACGTTGTCATTTGTCTAATTTGAATAATTGTTAATTATTCAAATTTTTGTAATATTACAATGTTAGTGACAGATGGGCTCTTGTATTGTAAAAAGCCGACAACTTCTTGGCGAAATCGGAAATATGGAACTGCCAGGGAATTGTTTTACATCACACGTTGGAATAAAATAGAGTTCATTAATGTTTGTTATGACAGGTCATGCGCTTTTACTGATCATTTTACTATCTCATAAAATTTTGTCCAGTGAACGTTTCTCTTAAATTCTTCATTTTAAACATATGACTTATATTTCTTTCAAATATAACTAAAAACTAAATGCTGAACTCATACATTTATAAGTACACAGCTGGTTTGAAACTAAAATATATTCATTGAATATTATCGGTTTCTCTCTATGATTCATTTTTCATAATATTTATTAAAATTATTTCCAATGAAAGACTTATAAA